ATTTCAATGTTAGAAGGAGTGAAGCTTCATGCAGCCTAAATACAACAATATGTCAACAGGAGACAGTATGTAAGGTGCTGGATCATTAAAGGGACATTTTGCTTTAGATCATGACCATCTTTGGCAGATAGTACATCATTCTATGACGGCCTGCATGGGTCATAAAATTTCACAGCATGGAAACACGCAGAGATGTTTAGTGGGTGTTGGATCCTGCTCAGATTTGAACGCTACTCAAACTGGCATTTTAAGATGGCTGACGCTAAACGCTAGTTTTTTGATTAAGAATATTGCACTGCAATGTGTTTAAGTGTAATGATTTCACAAATGTCATTTTTGATGTGGATTCATATATCTTGTTGCGACAATCTCCATTTTTTTTTTTGTTTGTTTTTTTTTTTTGCATGGCACATTTGTCAGGTCTCGCTGCAAAGTATTACTCGAGAAACCCCACAGAGCTCTTTTTCTAAGATACTTGAGCATCAGGTTTGACAAAATGACAACAAAGAAAAGCTCTTATTCAACAGGGAATCCTGCTTTTGTTCTCATACGAATATTGTGTTTGAGAGAGTATCGGTTTCACCTTTGCAGGGGACCCATAATGCATTTCAATGACCATTCCAATGGTAAACGCCACAGCTGTGATCATTCTGGTAAGTTATGGCTTATAGTGTTATCCATGTATTGATGCATTTATACATTTCTCAGTGACAAATATTGTTACAAAATTATTGTCAAGCACTCTCATCATTGCACCCATGCATGCTTTGCACAAAAAGCTGCAATGGAGTGCAGCCACACTCTCCACAAAGACTATTTCCCACTTTCTTATCTTCTTCTTTTAATTATTAGGAAGAGGAATTTTCCAGCCCATTGTCTGCAAGTGATGCTAATTATTTTATCACAGAAATTTTAATTAGCTGCATCTAGAGCAGGGCTTAGCGCTGAAAGTCTCTCACACAAGTGTTGATGGATGTCATATGTGACATACTCAGAATCATTTATTCATAACCCGTTGACTAGCTAAGTGAGAAAATGCCTTGTGAGTGAACTCTCTGACAACCTGGTGCAGGTGGATAAATAAATGTTCCTGTTCACCAGTGAATTATTCTCTGCTCCTATATTTTACTTTAGAAGATGGTGCCCTCCTTTATCTGCAGTGCGTTAAGAGTGTAACAATAGATTAAGGTGAGTCAGTTATTTTATTAACATTATGAAAAATCACTTCAGTTGTGAGTCATCAGATACGACTAGAAACAGTTCAACTGCTAATTGGCTCCTTTCAGTCAGAGAATGTAAAATGCAAGGTGGGAGTTTTAGTAGAAAGCTTTATATAATAACAATTGCATCAATCAAGGAGTTATGAAGGGCAGTGATTTGGCTTGTCTTTGGTTGCTTATCTTTATTTATCTTATATACTGTGTTAGGATCTGTTCAGCATTAGAATTATGTACACAGAATTATGCATGTGCTGTTTGAAGTTATAGTGCTGGTTTAACGTGTCCATGCCGTTTAATTTCCATTGACCAGATAGTGAACAAGAACTCTGAATGGCTAAATAGTGATTTACATAATCTTTTATACATGGTTGCCTTATTCTGTATAGCCTATATATTTAGATTTTTTGTTCAGACCTGTTCAGCATAAAAAAAGAAACGTCACTTTTTTCGGTATACTGTTTTTTTTTAAAGATTATCATGTAAAATACAAATAAGCTTCACATATCTTATTGCAAATGGTTCAAATAATGTTTTTCATGCTTGTTCAATGAACCATAAAAAATAATGCACGTGCAGTTTAGACATACCTATAGACACCTATAGTCACATATAGACTGAAAATATAATACGCATGTGTATGACATCACTATTTTCACAAATTTGCATTTTTGTTGTTTACATGGATACAATATTATCACACATGAAGCAGGAAGCCTGGTTCAACAGATGGTACTTCATAGTTCCCAAAAGGGATGGGGGTTTATGTCCCATATTAGATCTCAGGGTATTGAACTAGTCTCTGAGGAGATACAGGTTCAAGATGTTGACCATACCTATTATCGTAGGTCAAATCAGGTCCGAGGACTGGTTTATAATGATGGATCTAAAAGATACACACTTCTATATTTCCATCCAGGTTTGCTTCCAAGGTTTGCTTCCGAGGGAAAGGCTTAACAATACAAAGTTATTCCGTTCAGTCTAGCACTGTCACCACGCACCTTCACCAAATGTATGGATGCTGCTCTTGCTCCTCTCAGACTTCAAGGCATTCACATTCTTAACTACATTGACGACTGGCTAACTCTATCAGAGTCGGAAGTACTTGCAGTTCAACATTGAGATATTGTTCTGCACCATCTGAGGTGCTTGGGATTGAGACTCAATGACAAGAAGAGTTCTTTGACTCCTCTGCAAACGATTATGTTCCTGGGGGTAGTTTGGGACTCAATGACGATGCGGGCATAGTTTTCTCCTGCTCACATAAATATCATCCTGACCACAATAAGAAGTTTCAGCCTGGGCCAAATCATCACTGTCAAACACTTTCAGAGAGTGCTGGGTGTCCTGACGGCAGCGTCCAGCGTTATTCCTTTTGGCCTGCTCAACTCAACTCAACTTTATTTATAGAGCACTTTCAAGACCACAAGTGGAACCAAAGTGCTGTACAAAACGAATAAAATAGAAAGTAAAATAAAGAAATAAAAAACAATACAAACACATGACATAAAAAAAAACTTACAAAGGATTATCAAATGCTAAAGAAAACAAGTAAGTTTTAAGCGCACTCTGAAAAACACCCAAAGAAGGACAAGATTTCACAGACAGGGGAAGGTCATTCCAGAGCCTAGGAGCCGCAACAGAGAAGGCCCGATCACCTTTACCTTTCAAACGGGACTGCGGAACCATGAGAAGCAATTGATCATTTGAGCGCAGAGATCTACTGGATTGACAGCGGCTAATTAAATCAGTAACATATTCAGGCGATTGGCCATTCAGAGACTTAAAAAACATACAACAATGCTTTGTATTGAACTCTGTATCTTATGGGTAACCAGTGTAATTTAATTAAAACCGGAGTAATGTGCTCTCTCTTCTTAGTACCTGTTAAAAGTCTGGCAGCTGAGTTCTGAACGAGTTGCAGACGGGAGAGAGAGGCCTGACTCACACCCAGCTACAAGACATTACAGTAATCCAAACGGGATGACACAAAAGCATGAACAACCTTCTCCATATCATCAAAAGTAAGGATAGATTTCAATTTAGCAATTGATCTAAGATGGAAAAAACTATTCTTAACGACAGCATTGATTTGCCGGTCAAATTTAAGCTCAGAGTCAAAAATGACACCAAGGTTCCTCACACTAGACAGCTTTTTCCCAGGAAACAACCCCAGGCAGTCATCATCCACACACCCCTTATTTCCAAATAAAATCATCTCGGTCTTATCCTCATTTAATTGGAGAAAGTTATTCGCAAGCCAACACTTAACTTCGGCCAAACATGCATGGAAAGACTGAATGGCACATTTATGCCCATGTTTCAATGGTAAATAAATTTGAGAATCATCCGCATACAGATGATACTGAATCCCAAATTTCTCAAAAATCGAGCCTAGAGGGAGAATATAAAGGGAAAATAAAATAGGTCCCAGTATAGATCCCTGTGGAACCCCACACACAAGAGGGGCAACAGAAGAAAAATATTCCCCTAAACTGACTGAAAAGGTCCTATCCTTCAAATATGAAGAGAACCATTTCAGGGCTAAGCCCTGAATACCAACCTGATTCCTAAGACGATTAATGAGAATGTTATGATCCACTGCATCGAAAGCCGCTGTAAGATCTAACAAAAGCAAAACAACACGGTTTCCAGAATCAACACCTCGTAGGATATCATTAGACACCCTCAAAAGAGCAGATTCTGTACTATGACCAGCTCTAAAACCTGACTGGAATCTATCGGCAATATTATTCCTCATTAAATAGTCATTTAGCTGTGCATGCACAATTTTTTCGAGTATCTTTGAAATAAAAGGTAATTTCGAAATTGGACGAAAACTACTCATGTCAAAGGAGTCTAGGCCATTTCTTTTTAAAAGGGGCTGAATAACCGCATGCTTAAAACTAACCGGAACAACACCAGATGACAAACTAGTATTCATAATAGAAAGAATGGTCGGGCCAATTGAATCAAGTACCTTCTTAAACAGAGAAGAAGGGAGCACACCACCAGGAGACCTGGTGGGCTTCATATGAGCAGTTATATCATTTATCTGCTGTAAAGAAACAAAACTAGTAAATTGGTTCGTAGGGTCAACATGAGCGATAAAATCATTGGCAACAGATGAAATCTGAGATCTAATTCCTTCAACCTTACCAATAAAAAAGTTTAAGAACTCTTCACATAACTTAGCAGAAGGAGTGAATGAAGGAGTAGCAGTAGGATGAAGAACAGCATTTACAGTTGAAAAAAGTACTCTAGAATTATTACCGTTTCTGGAGATGATGTCAGAAAAATAATTTGATCTAGCCAATTTAACAGCTCTTTGATACTCATACTGCTACACATGAGAGGCTTACAGTGGTGGATCAAGGGTTTTTCCAGAGGGGGGACCTTTTTCGCATTATCAAGGTAATGCGCAGATGCCTTCATTCCCTAATAATGTGTAAGAAACCTTGGTTCCTTTCCCTAGGTCCTATTTTGGGGGCACCGTGTCAGTGAAAAATTGTGACCACGGATGTTTCCCCAACAGGCTGGGGTGCGGTAATGGAAGGCCACCATTTATCCTGGTACATCAACTGCCTGGAAATGTTGGGGGTAATTCTGGCTCTCAGACATTTTCTTCCAGACCTCAGAGGCCATCATGTTCTGGTACGCAGAGACAATACGTCAGTTGTCTCCTATTTAAACTGACAGGGGGGCCTGAGATCACGCCCTCTATGCAGACTGGTGCACCAGGTCCTCCTGTGGGCCCAGGGAAAATTTCTCTCAGTCAGAGCTATGTTTATCCCTGGAAGCACCAATGTGGGAGCAGATAATTTGTCGAGGCAGGGGCTGAGGCAAGGGGATTTGAGACTCCACCCAGAGTCGGTGGAGCTAACATGGAAGGAGTTCGGTCAGGCAGAAGTGGATCTCTTTGCCACTCATGAGAATTCTCACTGCCCTCTCTGGTTCTCCCTATCGCATCCAGCTCCCCTGGGGATACAGGATCAGCTTACTACTAGTAGCTCTGTACTGGCTGGCCCGAGTATGGTTTTTGGATTTCATGGTTCTTCTATCAGGCCATCCTTGGCAAATCCCGATCAGGAGGGACCTTTTTTCCCAGGCCGAGGGCACAATATTTCACCCTCAGCTGGAGCTATGGAAGCTCTGGGTCTGGCCCTTGAAGGAGACCAATTCCTAAATACTGGTCTCTCAACTGAGATTGTGGAGACCATTTTAAATTCTAGAGCCCCCTCCACGATGAAACTTTATTTACTTAAATGGAATGTCTTTAACCTTTGGTGCAGAGAACTTCAGTTGGACCCAGTTAACTGCCCGGTGGCTTCAGTACTGGAGATCCTCCAGAGTCGCTTCTCTGACGGGCTCTCCCCGTCCATGCTTAAGGTTTATGTGGCAGCCATAGCTGCCTTCCACACGCCTTTAGGGGTGGGCACCTTGGTGAGACACCCACTAATAGTTTCCTTCGTGGAGCTAGGAGGTTGTGGCCTGTCACCCAGTCCAGAGTTCCCTCCTGGGACCTGACAGTGGTCTTCAAAGGGTTATCCCTGGCACCCTTCGAGCCTTTGGATGAGGTGTATGAGAAATTTATGTCCTTTAAAGTTGCCATCCTGCTTGCAATTACGTCCCTCAACAGAGTTGGGGACCTACAGGCTTTATCGGTTGCTTCCTCTAGTCTCAAGTTCGCTCCTGGCAGAGTAAAGGCCATTCTCCACCCTAGACCTGGTTATGTACCTAAGGTGCCGTCAAATGTGGCATGGTCTATTATTCTTCATGCATTTTTTCCTCCACCGCATGTGACGGATGAGCAAGCTAAGCAATATTTACTGTGCCCGGTCTGGGCCCTCGAGGTCTATACTCAGAGGACCTTGGGGTGGAGAAGGTCAGGAACAACTTCGGAGCTGTGTCCCAATGTGAAGGCTGCGTACTTCGAAGGCTGTAGACTTCGAAGGATGCAGTCTATTTGGCCTTCGAAGGACGCTTCATGTAGCCTTCGTGGGATTTCCTAATTGCGCAACCAGGTGTTCCCTATTACTGCTCCTGGCGCCAAGCAACGGAGCGAGAGTACAGCTGCCACCCTGATCATTCATTTAATGAAACTGAGTAAACAGCTATGGAGAAAGGCTATTGTCATTTTGTTGTTTTATATTTTACTGGAAATTTAAAAACATAAACATCTTCTTCCGCTCATCCGGGGCCGGGTCGCGGGGGCAGCAGTCTAAGCAGAGATGCCCAGACTTCCCTCTCCCTAGACACTTCCTCCAGCTCTTCTGGGGGGATACCGAGGCGTTCCCAGGCCAGCCGGGAGACATAGTCTCTCCAGCGTGTCCTAGGTCTTCCCCGGGGCCTCCGCCCAGTGGGACGTGCCCGGAACACCTCCCCAGGAAGGCGTCCAGGAGGCATCCGGAACAGATGCCCGAGCCACCTCAGCTGACCCCTCTCGATGTGGAGGAGCAGCGGCTCTAGTCTGAGCTCCTCCCGAGTGACCGAGCTTCTCACCCTATCTCTAAGGGATCGCCCAGCCACCCTGCGGAGAAAGCTCATTTCAGCCGCCTGTATCCGGGATCTTGTCCTTTCGGTCATGACCCAAAGCTCATGACCATAGGTGAGAGTAGGAACGTAGATTGACTGGTAAATCGAGAGCTTTGCCTTACGGCTCAGCTCCTTCTTTACCACAACAGACCGGTACATCGACCGCATTACTGCTGAAGCTGCACCGATCCGTCTGTCAATCTCCCGTTCCATCCTTCCCTCACTCGTGAACAAAACCCCAAGATACTTAAACTCCTCCACTTGAGGAAGGATCTCTCCACCAACCTGAAGTGGGCAAGCCACCCTTTTCCGGCTGAGGACCATGGCCTCGGATTTGGAGGTGCTTATTTTCATCCCAGCCGCTTCACACTCGGCTGCAAACCGTCCCAGTGCATGCTGAAGGTCCTGGTGTGAAGGGGCCAACACGACAACATCATCCGCGAAGAGCAGAGACGAAATCGTGTGGTCCCCAAACCTGACGCCCTCCGGCCCCTGGCTGCGCCTAGAAATTCTGTCCATAAAATTATGAACAGAACCGGCGACAAAGGGCAGCCCTGCCGGAGTCCAACATGCACCGGGAAGAAGTCTGACTTACTACCGGCAATGCGAACCAAGCTCCTGCTTCGGTCATACAGGGACCGGACAGCCCTTAGCAAAGGACCCCGGACCCCATATTCCCGGAGCACCCTCCACAGGCCGCCTCGGGGGACACAGTCGAATGCCTTCTCCAAATCCACAAAACACATGTGGACTGGTTGGGCAAACTCCCATGAACCCTCCAGCACCCTGTAGAGAGTATAGAGCTGGTCCAGTGTTCCACGGCCAGGACGAAAACCGCACTGTTCCTCCTGAATCCGAGGTTCCACTATCGGCCGTATTCTCCTCTCCAGTACCCTGGCATAGACTTTCCCAGGGAGGCTGAGAAGTGTGATCCCCCTATAGTTGGAACACACCCTCCGGTCCCCCTTCTTAAAAAGAGGAACCACCACCCCGGTCTGCCATCCCAGAGGCACTGTCCCCGACCGCCACGCGATGCTGCAGAGGCGTGTCAACCAAGACAGCCCCACAGCATCCAGAGACTTGAGGTATTCGGGGCGGATCTCATCCACCCCCGGTGCCTTGCCAAAAGGACTGGAAATTTTATGTTTTATATTTTCCTGTCTTTAAATGAGGGGCAATATATATAAAATCACATAATTTCAATTCACATAACCACTAAAAAAATATTTCGAGTCATGTATTTTCGGCTCAAGAGTTGGCCAGAGCTGGTTTAATGCTAGAGGCTGCGTCCTGAATAGCCAGATTACACTGTAAACTGTTCAAATATTGGCTGTTAACCTACGTAAATATTGTAATGAAATAGCCTAAAAAATAATAATGATAAAACATAGGCACATATATAGCCAATAGCCTATTCAAATGTTAATCGTACCATACGATTTTGTAGGGTTTTCTTTTTATTGTCTAAATGGACCATGGTGAATATATTTATACAGGCTGTCAATCCTATTTGAATATTTTAAACCAAATATAAAAAGTCCAGTGCAAACGTCGTTACTCCCGCTCGTCGTCGTCAGCTGTCAGTCACAGTTGCTAGGCGACAAGAACAATCCTCCGCAGGCTAGACCGGTCCGAGCGCTTCAGGTGCGCACTTTGATATGGGACGAAGTTGAAGTTAGCAACAATTTGTTAATATTGTGACAATGGACCAACAATTTGTTACTTTAATTTTTAAAATAACCAGTGGGAGAATGTAAGGAACTTCATACTGCGATAGTATTCATGTACAAATGTGAAGTAGCCTACCCTTTTCCCCCACAGGACCACAACACTACACATTTTACATTAAACGACACAAAACAAAAGTATATTATAGTTTAAATGTATCAACCTTGCAAACACTCACAGACCCTTACAAAAATAAACAAATACCCAGAGCCATGAATTCTCTTTTGTGTACACATTTAAAGTTGCATAAAATAATGAAATAATGAATAATAAAGAAATACAATGTACAAGAAATGCAATACAAGGCTATAAAAGCCGTTTTCGCATTTCCACTTGACAAAACCATGCAATGCTGACGAATGAGTTAAGATGAATAATAATAAGAAAAAAAAAACGAAAAAAAAAAACAAACAAAAAAAAAACTTTTGGCTCTTAACACTGGTTTCTCTGGCTATTTGAGTAAATAAAAACATAATACTTTTACATTTAAATGTGAATTTGCCGTCCACCACTGAACTCTCGGCCACCCTTTTTTTAAATAAAAATGCTGTCGTCACCCGCGCAATGATTTATGGGGTAGGATCGGGTAGGATAGTCCGCGAAGTGTCCATTTATGTATCGTTCCTTTCACGGGGAAATGAAGTGTGCATTTGGCGTCGCTTTTGAATTAGGTAAGCCTTCGTCGCGCTGCAATGACGCAACCGGCCTTCGAATACGGCCTTCGGAGGATGCATAACTGAATTGGGAAAGCCTTCATCCCACCGCGATGACGCAATCGGCCTTTAAATGCGGCCTTCGCGGATGCAGCCTTTGAATTGGGACGTACTTCGTCGCGCGGCTGTGACGCAATCGGTCTTCAAATACGGCCAACCGTCCTTCAAATACGGACTTCGGAGGATGCAGCCTTCACATTGGGACACAGCTCATGTGTGTTTCTGGTCAATTAAGAAGGGGCAGACTATCAGTATTTAACTGACTCGTATTCTCAATGCGAAACAAAGTTATAAAACACAATAATGGGGGATTCCGATTGTCTAATAGTTGTTCAAGAAGAAAAAAATTATGCCCAAATGAATAAACACTATATCTGTTTTTATATTCCCCTGAAAAAGAACAATAATTGTCAACACCCAAACAGTAAGTACAAAAGAAAAACAAATAAACTACAATAAACAAAAACAGATAGCTTACAGGACTACTTTACATGTAGTCATTGGTTGAACACTTCAATGAAGTGTAAATTGATGTGTGTAGGTCTTATCTGCTGGTATAGATCCTAAATCAATGTCCAAAGTAGAAGTAGTCCCTCAGTAGATTAATAATACAACCATTTGTGATGAATTCACTCCCACTGATAACAATCCTCATGCATTTGACTCTTCCATTTCAGGAACAGTCATAAGTAAGCAAAAAGTCCCAAGCTTACATCCTTCTGAGATTTGAATCCATATTTACCGTTGGCAACACAACATGCCATGTCAAAGTCATCAATAAAGAGTCCTTCTAAAATACATGTAAATAAACTGTATCAAACTTCTTAACAACAAACATCATTATTGAAGCATACATTTTATAACAGGAAAAGAAAAAAAATCCTTACTTTAAGTTGAGCTTGAAATGTAACATTTCCCAACCTGGACATAGCACAAAAACAGGTAAGCCATGCTTTCTACTGCTGCTGTCCTGCTCACTTCTACAAACCCACCTTTACTTAAGGAGCACATTTAGGAACCATAGCACCCCTAGCGGTGTGGAAGAAAAACAGCAGCTAAAAAACACTGCGTAACAAGCTTGTCTGTTACAAGTAGATGGATTGTAGAGGCTATAACCTTAACTTATGAGGCGCACAGTTTGCCTTCGCCTCTGCTAGTAAAAGCCCATCATGCTTAATAAATCATAATTCATGATGATGTGCTCGTCTTAGTTAATGTTTTAATTAAGGTTTTGTTCATCCATGAAGTCATGAATGAAAAACGTTGAACTGTTAAAAAAAAAACGTTGTTAGTTCCTGGTGATATTAATATGAATTAATGCATAATTCATTTATGCATGAATTCATGATAATTCATGACATGAACCCTTAAAGTGTTAGCGAATATTGTTATATTAAAGCAATGGATTTATAGTATGCACAAGAAATTCAATGTGTATAAAATTTTATTTTGATTAATTGCATTTTGAAATAAAAAAAATATTGGATTTATTGCATTTTGGGGGAAAAAACGATCTGTTTTTATAATAAATCTTTGGAAATCAAAACCTGGATTTCATTTTTTATTGTTATTATAACCTACAAATGCTATGTGAAAATTTGAAACCGAAAATAGTGGTTTTCATCTTCCCATTTTCTTGCTAAAGAAAACACAGTTTTACTCAAATTCATCAGAATGGATTTATAGCATTTTGGAACCAAACTCTTCATATTTTGCCTCCTAAA